AGTTCATACAACAAAGGCCCACGCACACAAACAAAGAGTACTCAAAGTTGGACAATAACGGTCAGCACTCCTGGTTAAGCACCGAGTAATTTCGCAATACATCAATAAATTTGGACTGATCATAAAACAATGCTTAACCACTTTATAGGAAAGGGTACAAAATGATGGGTTAAGCACAAAGAAAATACAAGGTTACATTTGAGCGGTACAAGCATTGAGCATAGCAAATTATTAAAATTATAGTGATAATAATAAAAGCGAGAATAGGGGTCGTAATAGCTAAAAGAAAAGGGTTAAAAATAACGTAAAATACAGCTAAATGTAATAGTAAAGGATAAATATACTCATAATAGCAATAATCATATAATAATAATATTAACAATTTAAAAATGCACAATATTACCTTTAGTTAATTTTACTACACATTTAAATAGATTAAATATTCAGAACTAACCTTGTAGAATACACTAACAACACTTTTAACAATGATTTTAGAACAATAATTTTCTTTTACAATTTTACCAAAGAAAACGAACTGTACTAAACCAAGTTCAAAATGCTTCTCCTCATTTCTCCTTTTCAAAAACCTTCTTCGTTTACCTCTGGTGGAAATTCCTCGCCCAATGTGTATGCCACATGTACCCTTTTTCAAGCTCAGAGCATACCTCTTGTTTGCTTGCAAATTTTCTACCTAAATATTAAATTTTATTTGCCTTAAAATAAAGTTTTATTACTTAATCCTATTTTAAAATTAGAAAAATAAAATATATTTAAACCCATGTATTCTAATAAATTTATACAGGGGTATTTCTTTTTCGGAACCATTACAATACCTATAACTCCTATTATAGGTACGGGTAATCGACAATTCATTCAATGTGCAATTGTTCTTGCCGTAAAAGAAAGATGCCGTTATTTCAAATGTTAAATGGGAACTTTTGCGCATGTGCCTTACAATATACCACGCCCGGTTTTAAATTCTCCAAATTTAAAAATTCTTTTCCTTGTCATTTTCTTATATCCTCTTTGGTCGCCCTGTTAAAAATCACCCACAAAGACCAATAGAAAAGCTATTAGGATTTTCCAGCGGCAGCTCTATTGGTTTGAATTGGTCTCAATAGTGGTATCTGTAACATGAATTACCAATTCAAACCAATAGCAGACCGATAGAGACTAATCGTATTTTATTGGTAATTCCCAATAGATATATTATAGATATATTTTATTGGTAATTCCCAATAGAGCTATTTGGATTTTCCAGAGGTACCGCTATTGGTTTGAATTGGTCCCCACTATACATTTTAGACGTCGTTAAGGTAAAAAATTACGTGTTTTGATGGTTAAATAATTTCTCAAAAATAGTGCTGTTTAACATTTAATTTAAATTTTATAAATAGCTTCTGCTAAAAGTAAGTAGTGGGGCCCACTGCTTACTTTTCGCAGAGTGGGCCACAGGACGACCTGTGCCCCTTTAAAAATTCCAAAACGCCAGGCGTTTCCATGGCCAGTAATTTTGCCTTAGTATTTCCACCTTTATAGGCCTATGTATTGTGCTACAGAGGCGAGAGGTGTGCATGGGTTGCCTACCTATTGGCGAATTTTGAAAATAAATATTAAAGTGGTATATACCCTAGGGTTCCTTGTACCTACACACCGATAAAATACCAATTCAGACCATTAGTTTATCTATTGGTATTTTCCAGTAAGAAAATTGCCAATAGAAACAAGTGGTCATTTGTATTAAATTGCGCAGGCGCTGAACATTTAAGTGGTATTTACCAATTGAATTTCAATTGGGAATTTCCAGTACTTGTAACTTCTTATAAAAACCAATTCAGACCATTACGTTCGAGATTAGGTTATCTATTGGCATTTTCCAGTACGGAAATTACCAATAGAAACCAATGCTCATTCTGTTGAGAAACCAATAGGCCCAATAAAGACCAATTCATTCCATTCTGATTTTTGGTCTCTATGGGTGATTTTTAACAGGGCGAAAACATTGTTTTTGTTTGAACAAGTGTTTTTATTAATTTAATTTAATGCAGCTAGTGTTTAAAATAAATGTGCAAAATCATATTTGCAATTCTCTTTTATTTAATCAAAAAAACTGAATTAAAAACCAGATTGTTGACGGCTGGCCAAAAACAAATGACCGATTTAGAAAAATAATGGTTACTATAGTATATATAGATTGCCAAGAGATTGGGAATGTTATAACATTCCCAATCTCTTGGCAATAAAAAAATAGTTAGGTAGGTACTATAAGTTCATAGTAGGTATTTGGTAAAAAGTTAATTGTTTTACCATAAATACTACCAAAATTTTGATTAAAGTGTAATTGTAATAATCCAGAATCACAGGTGTAAACACAAAATAATAAACAATTGTTTATTATTTTGTGTTTATGCCTGGTTAACCAAGATGGCAGTGAATTGTTGCCAGACAGATTATATACTTTTTTTTAAATAATAATTTTGTAGATTTAAATAACTACAATTAGGCTAAAATTATTCAGACAATAAAACAATAACGTTTAAAAAAGATATTTTTTTAATTTTTACCATATTTACCAGTAAAATTTGAATAAAGAAACCCTCTAAAAGACAATATAAAAGAAACAAGGCAAGCTGTAGTATTTTAATAGTGTAGCATGCGCATTGGAAACATTTTATCATTTGAGATAGATACATATACCTGTCTCTTAATAATTGCAAGGGGCGTGGTATAGTTATAGGTAGGTATATGGTTCAGGCATGCTTCTGAGCTAATCATCTAGCTATAAATTATTTAAAATATTAGTTTAAGGGTATGTTCCGTAAGTCAACTTGGTTAGTTTGGTTTCGGTTAAGGTGTCCCGTAAATGCAAAATTCCGGAAAATTATGTAGTTAAGAAACGCGGTTCCTGAAAAATAGGTTAACCAATCGTTACCGAAACGACCGACGCTGTATGATCGGTTAAATCGGTTACCAGTGCTGCAAACCAAATGGAAACAGTGTTGCCCTAAAGTTTAGGGCCTAAACAAAATTACTGTTTTTTGTTGGTTATCTAACCTAAAAATTTAACACAGGAGCAGACTTCGCATACAAAATACGTTTTGTCCAAAAATAATTGAATTCATAGATAACAAAGCCTTTGATTGAATTCATGAATTCTGCAGTATATTGGGTGTTTTAGGTTTGTTTATGTAACTATAGAAATATTATTAAAAATATATGCAATAGACTGGGCCAAAAAAATTGACTATTTTTTTTTTGAACAATATATCGAGAATGTCATTCAGAATGACAAAAAAAAAATTTCGTGAAAATTTTAGCCCTTAATATTAATTTTAAGAGGTCTATCATCGCTATTTTTTATTTTTAGTCATAATATGATGTTTTTCGTTAGAATTGTCAAAACATTAAAGTGAAAAAAATTCCTTTTCACTTATAATATAAAATTAAATTCTCTACAAAAAAGGTCTGATTGAAAATTTTCGTCAGACGAGCCGTTTCCGAGTAATTGAGCTTAATAAATCGATGTGTTTTTTCGATTTGCCCTTTTTACTTTGAAATTTTGTAACTAATGAATCAATGAATATTTAAAAAAGCTCACGTCGGTTTCTTAAAGGAAATTTAATTTTCTACAAAAAAGTTCTCGTAACATTTTTGCCTAAATTTAATTCTTCAAAAGTTATTCACGAAGAAAAAATTGAAATTTTAAGTTTTTCTTCGATTTTAATAGTAAATAACTTTTAAAGAATTAAATTTAGCCAAAGATGTTAAGAAACCTTTTTTGTAGAACATTAAATTTACTTTAAGAATCCGATGTGAGCTTTTTTAAATATTCATTGATTCATTAGTTACAAAATTTCAAAGTAAAAAGGGCAAATCGAAAAAACACATCGATTTATTAAGCTCAATTACTCGGAAACGGCTCATCTGACGAAAATTTTCAATCCGACTTTTTTTGTAGAAAATTTAATTTTATATAAAAATAAGTGAAAAGGAATTTTTTTCACTTTATTATTTTGACAGTTCTAACGTAAAACATCAAATTATGACTAAAAATCAAAAATAGTGATGATAGACCTCTTAAAATTAATATTAAGGGCTCAAATTTTCACGAAATATTTTTTTTGTCATTCTGAATGACATTCTCGATATATTTTTCAAAAAAAAAAATAGTCAATTTTTTTGGCCCAGTCTAATATGCAAGTTGTAGTTTTTGACACAAATAGGTCGAAAAAAGTAAGTTGGTTATGTTTTTTCAAATAAAGGTGTCCCGTAAACATGAACTAACCGAGAAAACCAGGAATTTATTTCAGTAACCAGACCGGTAACTCGTGTGTATTTACGGAACATACCCTAAATTGCGGTCGTTTCAAATTCAAATAATTTAAATGTTGCTGGGTATTCCACGTATAAAATCAATCAAATTTATTGACTATAGGTAATCCAAATATTAAAAATTTATAGTATATTATAGAAAGTAAAATATTTAAATTATACTTAATTTTTTAATTCTCTATGATGAGGCACTTCCTCACCTGCCTCCCCTGACGGGCCGCCACTGGTATAATTTATAGCACGTGCTCAAATTTTTTTTGCAAAAACTTTTACAAACCATAAGAAAAAAACTGAAAATAACCTAAAAACCCGTTTAAAAAATTGTGTTCGGTTTCTAGAGTTACGGTTTTCTGTCCAAAAATGGTCCGGTCCGGGTCCCTGAATAAAACACACAAGCCCAAAGTAGTAGCCTGTAGCAGTCAGAAAATTTTGAGAAAATGAAGACGTAGAAATAGCCCCATTGGCTATTAATAGCCCAATCTGGCAACCCTATAAATAAGTTCTGGTCACGTAAATTTTGATGATATTGCTTCGTTGCCGGTTTTCTTTTCGACACTAGGTAATTCGATAAACCGACGCTTCGTATCAATTACTCGTAAATAGTTTTTGATTGGCAACAGTGTTGTTCGGTAGAATTATTTTGGTTGGCAACAATGCTATTAAGTTGAATTTAAGGTTATGTTCGTAATATAATACCTATATAATATATTATATATATAAATACTTAAATATATAAGAAAATAATGTTACCGACGAAAGGTTTTTTTCAAGATATCGAGTGTCCATATTTGAATTCTGGTTGTGGACGACCTTATTGTCATTTTCGTCACAAGAAGAAGATCAATGAAGATGATTTTAATGACAAAATAAGCGTTCCAATTTATAAGCCTACACCAAAAAGTGAATTAGTTAATTTTCACAATAAAAATCATATACCAATTAGCTATGTACCTGACCTTGCATTTAGAAAAAATAATTCCACAAGGTCTTTGCCCAGATTTAATAAACCTACATATAAACCAACACCTATCAGTATTTTATCTTCGGCATTACAAAGAAGTGATTTCAATGAACTGGGCGAATGTAAAACTGTGAAAGAAATTAAACAGAATATTGCTAAAAATGAATACAACCCTAATATTTCATTGAAAAATTCAAACATTAACTTTGAGGAATTAATAGGAGAGTTCAACTTAATTGATGAAATAATTAGACATGATGATTCCAAAAAAGATAACCAGATTATAAACTCTACAACTGCCATAAATGATTTAAATGACATTCAACATAGTACAGAATGTACAAAGGACTATCCATTTAAAGATGATTTGGTTGATACATCGGTTGTAAAAAAATTTGTCAGTGAAAATTCTGAATGTAGTGAGAAGTGTTCTGACAATAAAGTAAATGTGACTATTAAAAGTGATGATAATAAAGACATTCATAAGTGTAGTGATAAAAATAAAAAAGAAAAATCCAAACATAAAAACAGTAATAAAGATAAGTGTAGTGATGGAAAACATAAGAGTGACAGTAAAAGTAAAGAAAAAAGTAAAAATAAAAATAAAGCAAGTATTGAACAAAAATCTGGGTCAAGATCCCATAAAAGTAGTAGTCATAAAAAAGATAAAGCATCCAGTAGTAAGCATAAAAAACATAGTTCAATTTTAACAGCAAAAGATAAATTTAAAAAAACAGAGGATGTTAAAAAAATAAAGGAAATGGGTGAATTTAAATATAAGCAGTCAGAAATGAAGAAAGATAATGAAAATATACAACACAATAAAGTAAGTATTTCTACTAAATTGTTAGAAAATAAAATACTAAAACAATACAAAAAGTATGATGTGCAGGAAAATGATGATTTTGATTATGATAATGATAAAACATTATTAGAGTGCTATAAAATATTTAATGAATATAAGCCAGAAACGAAGGTATTAAGTTCTACAATTGATTTAAAAATGGAAAAACCTTTGGATATACTTACAAGCAAGAAAAGAGTTGCCCACTCAATAACCAATAATTCTTTTATGCAATCCAAATTACCCCCTATAGCAAAACCAAAAACTATTTTAAGCCCAGGACAAACTCTTCATGAACGTTTTAAAATTGCTCAGGCAAGTTGTTCTAATAAAGAACAAGAAAATATTGCAAACGAAGTTAAGCAACCATTATTAGGTAAAAAACGACAAGCTTCTTTATTGTTAGAGGCAGCATCAAAACGAAAAATAACAAAACCTACTGAAAATTGTAATTTAAATGTAGGTATAATTGATAGTAAAAGTACATGTTTAGGACAAAAGATTAAAAAAATTGCACCAGTTCAAAATTTATTAAATTATCAAAAAGCAAAGGAACAATTAGGTAAACTGGTTAAACAAAATAGTATAAATGTAAAAAATAAAACAGTTGCTCAAACACAAAAATCGAGGAGAACAGCTCATATACCAGAATTTTCCTTGTCAAGCATTCCTGATGTTTTACATGCCAACAATTCAAAGTTGCCAGTTAATGTAAGAACAAGATTTTTAACAATGTTAGGCAATGAATGTGGCAAATTATATTTAACAAAAGATGATGCCTATCAGAGGGCTCTAAATGAGGAATTTAGTTGCTATGAAAAATGTAAAGTACTTGTCACATACAGAAATTCAGCTATGTTAGCTGTTAATCGATTAAGAAAAGAAATTCAAGAAAGAGAGAAATCTGGTTTGGGGCCAATAGATTCCAAAGATTTGCAACTAATAAATACAAAGTCAGATTTTTGTGGACAAAAGTTTTATGATCATGTTAAAAAGTGGATTTTAAGTGATGAAGAGTTAGATATTCATGGATATCCACGGGAAAGCGAAACCTCTGGGAAAGCCATTATTAGAAATAAAAAAAACATCCTAGAGCATTTGAAAGAAAATCAACGCAAGTGCTGTAGATGTAACAAAATATATTTTGTGGATGATGATGGTTGGCCTTTGTATGATGAAGAATGTTTGTATCATCCACTCAAAAAAAGGACTATTCGTGGCGAACACACTTATTTATGCTGCAAGGCAACTGATATAGGCTGTGTAACATCGGACACACATGTTTCTGAATCAATACAAAACTCTGAGCTTGAAGGATTTATGACCACTTTAAAACCGGAAAAAGACAATGATCAGAAAAATTTCACTGTATATGCATTAGATTGTGAAATGTGTTACACAACTAAAGGATTGGAGTTAACACGGGTTACAATAATTGATACTGAATGTAGAACAGTTTATGAATCTTTAGTTAAACCCTTAAACCCAATTATAGATTTCAATACCAGATTTTCTGGTATTACAAAGGAACAAATGGATAAAACCAGGACAAACATATTACAAATACAAGCAAATATTCTTCATTTATGCAATTCACAGACTATTCTTGTAGGACACAGTTTAGAGTCTGATTTAAAAGCCTTAAAAATTGTACATAGTACAGTTATAGACACTTCTGTTTTATTTCCTCATAAAATGGGTTTACCTCACAAGCGAGCATTAAAAGCCTTGGCAAGTGAATATATTAAAAAAATTATTCAGAATGATGTTGGTGGACATGATAGTGCAGAAGATGCTATCACTTGCATGGAACTACTTAAATGGAAGTTAAAGGAACATTTAAAAACAAATTAAAACATTTAGATTTTGTTTCTTGACATTTTTATGTACAATAAATACTTGTTTGGGTTCTGCGGTAATGCTGATATAGAGTTAAATTAAATGTATGTGAATAATTAATATAATTTATAAACAAATATTAGAAATATGTGTTGGGGAATATTTATAATATTTGTTTAACAAAAGTTATCCTTTTTCAAGTAATATATTTTATGTTATTTATAAAATTTATTAGGTATAGATTTTGAGATTTAAATGTAAGAACCAGATTTATAACTTTCATATTTGTGGTTGGAGTATTTAGGATTATTAGAATATACACATCTAGAATAATGTAATGCAATGTTTATAATATTTTTTTGAATCCCAATTTAAAGCATATAAAATACAACCTACCTACCTATTGGTAGGTATATGTTATAATAATGTTATAGGTTTTAGTAGTAAATGAAGAAAGTGTTTTTGCTCCAGTCTGAGATAAAGGGTGTAATAATATTATATTTTAATAGGTATCTTCCAAAAGATAAATTATTTAAATTTTGTATATTATACAGGATGAGTTTTAAGTTGACGCTTTTTTTAACAGCCTGTAGAAATCAAATGTACAAACAAATATTTCAAATAACTTTTTTATCAAAACTCAAAAGGAACAAAGCTAAATAAAATTAGGAGGCAGGTCCTGGGATATTGTTGCCAAAAATTTCTCAATAAACTTGTACGTACATATCCATAAAAACAAAAATGATAAATTTAACAAGGCAAAATGTCATTGTTGACAGTATTCTCATTAGCTACATTGTTAATTTTTTTATTTTTGTTTTAATGGTTATATTATATCTAGCCTGGACCGGCCTCAAAAATTAATTAAACTTTAAAAGGCTGTTTCTCTCTTATTTTTTAATTTTGATAAGAAAGTTACTTAAAATATTTGTTTGTCTATTTGATTTCTACAAGCTGCAGCTGTTATAAAAAAGCGTCAACTTAAAACTATATAATTATGTATATACAAAGAAAATACATTATTGTTTTTAATATTATACCAGGTGACTATTTAATAATAATACAAATAAAAAAACATTTTTTATCACAATTTTAAAGTCTTCCATTTTTTTTCCTGATCAAACTTTTTTTTGTACACTGCTGGTTAAATTTGGTATTGAAATTAGATTCCTTAATTTATTTTTTGTTTCTTTAGTTTTTCATAGATTGCTTCGTGTAAATTAAGAAAAATTAGACATTTCACACCAAAACAAAACAAAGTGCTTAAAATACTTTTCGCCAACGTTGTTGGCATCTTCAGAAGCGTAACTGATATAAATAAATATTTCTAATATTTGTTTAACTTATCACCAAAGTTGTACTTTTTCAAGTAACTCCAAGAGCATGTTTAATGACTGTGGATAATAATAATTTATTTATTATAAATCCTAATAAGTTTTCCCTTGCGGCCTGGAGTTTACGGTGAATTCACCGTTTGCGTGAATTCACCGTGAATACACCGTTTATGTGCAGTGAATATACCGTCCATTTGTGACATTTGTAGACGGTAATTAAACGGTGAACTCACGCTGTTTTTGCGATAAATTCACGGTAAATTCACGGTGAACTCAAGTTTGCAAAATCACCGCAAATTCACTGTCAAAGTACCGTAAATTTATCGTGAAATCACCGTGAATTCACCGTAAAAGCGCTGTGAGTTTACTGTACAGTACCACGTGGTAATGTAAATAATAAATTATTTTAATTGTTTGTAAATGGTTGTTTACTTTTTAATAAATAGTAATTTTGTTGCTAATAGACGGTATTAATAATTAAATAAAAAATTAATAATAAATATTAAGATTTTTTTATTTATAAACATTATTAAATAAATAATTTGTTTATACTTAAATATTGATAAAGCGCATTTATTTTACAAAAACTAAATTCACAAGTTCAACAGTAAAATTTAAAGGGTTTATAAATTTACCTGCCTACTTAAACATTATATTGTTATTCTGAAAGTTATAAACTACCAGTACATATTTAATAAACGACGACATTGAAAAGCCAAGTCCGTAGTGGTTCCATTTAAAAAAGGAGGGAAAGTATAATCTCCCTTGCGGCCTTGAGTTCACGGTTTATTCACTGTGAATAAACCGTCTGTGAAAAGTGCATGAATTCACCGTCTAACTACCGTTTACAAATGTCACAAACAGACGGTTTATTCACCGTGAATTCACGGGAATTTACAGTGAATTCACGGTGAATAAACCGTGAACTCAAGGCTGCAAGGGTTATATGGATGGCATCATTAAAGACAATTAAAGACAAAAGTTTGTGTTAAAATTTTGCAACATTCGGTAGTTATCTTACGAAGTTATCGCGGGTTAAGTTTTAAAAAAATATATTTTCTTAATTTCAAATTGTTTCGTTTTTATTTTTTATCTCGGAAACTAATAAAAATATGGAAAAAAATACACCCCATTAGGACAAGTAAAAAAATGTACGTGGAACTTTTAAAATTATTGGGGTTAAGTTTTAAAAAAATAAATTTTCTTAATTTCAAATTGTTTTGTTTTTATTTTTTATCTCGAAAACTAATAAAAATATTATATTATTATTATTAAAAAAAATTACACCCCATTAGGACAAGTAAAAAAATGAATTTGGAATATTTAAAATTATTTTGCCTACTGTCCAAATGCGTTCCAGCGCTAAGCTGGTTATGCTTGCCGGTCCGGTCCGTCAATTGCAATAATTGTCTTAAGACATAAAAAAACCAAGGGGATACAACTTAAGTTGTGCTTATAGACCAAGAAATCAAATTTGACCAGCGGCGTATTAAAAAATATTCGGTTAGGTTAAAGATCTTCGAAGACTAGATAGACAAATACTTTAAATAATGCATTTTCTTAATTAAGATATGAATATATCTTTTATATTTTACGAGTTATCAAAGACAATATCTCAGAAAGAAGCAATATTTTGACATTGGTTTATAAGAACTTTTAAGGTTAAAATGACTTTATAAATTCGCCGGTGAACCTGATAGACCCTGTATAATTATTTGATCAAATTGTAACCAATACCTAAAGTTTTTGTAATAATAACAAATAATTATATGTACAGTGGCGGACACGGAATTTAGAACGAACATCATCCCGTTGACATCAAAGGCTAAACTTCCTTTATGGATATATAACCTTACTTCCGGCTATCACTAGTCTTGTCATTTTGACAGCGAAAGCAAAAATGCTCAATATTGTAAAGATACCAATGATATTTACACATGTATACCCTTTACCAAATTATGACGTTCAAAATTCTGTGTCTGCCACTGTACTATTCTCTACACCCACTTTGAAATTTGTAACGTATGATAACAAGAAGCTAACGAGATAAATTATAAATAAATATATAATTTTTCATTTACATATACATGTTTTATTGTACCAAATTAGAAGCTTCATACGCTGAAATGGATATAGCACAGGGAAATCCGCTATTTTTAGAAACAATAGAACATAATACATAAGCTACATAACCTTTAATCTTTTTATTTTTTAAATTTCGGTTTTATGAAGCTGCGTACCGCAATCAAATGTCAAAGTGGGACTTGGAGCATGGCACCTACCTGTTCCTATAGGAATACATTTAATACAAACATAATTTATATCATTTATATCTTGGCTGTGCCAACTTGGCGCTGCCAAGATGTATAAAAACTTTATAATAAACTGGTTTTTAAAGTCTAAATGAATACCTACATCATATGTATTTGATGAGGGCATTTTATTATTAGTTCTATCACTGACCAAATAATTACCTTAAGGTATGTGGTTTTATATGGATTATAATTAATATATACTTGAGCTTAAAAACTTATGTCAAATTCAGTATAAAAAGTTACTGTATATATACAGTTTTTTGTATACAATATAATGTATACAAAAAACTTCCCTTATTTGAACTAATGTTTTTGATTGAAAGGCATTTAAAAAAATATATAATAAACATTGTACATGGCATACGAAATACAAATACAATGATCGTTTTTTAAAGTGGTTTGCATAAAAAGTGTTCCACTTTGATAGGTTGTAACTAATAAATGTATGGATGTATTTTGTTAATTTTTATTTTCTTATAAAGGGAGTTTCTTTGGCAGCATGTAAGCCTAATTGCATTCTTTTGACTTAGTTGATAATAATTTTACAGGGTGATTTGTAAAGCTATGATTTTGATATAAACTATTTTGATGTACACGAGATAAATGGGTGTTTATACGGTTTTATGTGTTTGTTTTGGATTTTAATGTATATACAGGGTTACTCATTGACCTCCTGTACATTAATAAATTTGATATATAAATCATAGCTTTACAAATCACCTCTAAAATGAATATCAATGACGACAAATAAATTCAATTATGGACGAAGAAACCCCAAAGAAACGCCCATTCTGACAAAAGAAAAATTAACCAGATACATCCATCCATTCAAAAGTTACAAACGATTGGTGTATTTGGTTGGCTAGTATTTTTTTTTAATTTTCCATATCAACATTTCCCCAAATATTCGACAAGGATATAAAAAAATATATTATTGTATTTGAATTTTACAGTTTGTTTAATATTTTGGAGGCGTTATTTCCCTATACAATGTATTTTTATTTAATTTTTTATGTATAAAATTTAATTATTATTAATTAAAAATATTCTTAATAAATTTAAGAACATTTTGTAATATAAAAACATATTAGTGGCATAATTTAAGGAAGTATTATCCCGATTAGTATGTACAAAGCCTATTTTAAATTATACCCATGACAATAAAAATGTGTTTTATTTAACAAACAACCCTGCTTAAAATACCCCATAAAGACCCTGTTCAAACCGATAGATATTTGTATCGGAATGTATGGTGTTTCTATAGGGTGTATCTAGGGTTACCAACTATTGTAAATAAAAATATAGAACGTCGGCTGTCTTGGTCCGATTTAGGTTAGGCAGCAAACAGCCCATAGATCAAAATTTAGAATGTACTTAAAGGAGTACTTAACCTAAGCGTTTATTTTTTCAATTTTTTTCTAATATTTTTCAATTATATTTTTATTTTGATTCCAAGTAACAAGTAAGGTACACAAATATTTATATATTTAATAAATTAAAAATACAGCATATTTCATTTCTTTATAAAAAAACAATAGACTATTTAGTCAAAAACATAAAATAATAATATAAACATATATAATAACATAAAACAAATAAATAAAATAATTTATAAGGCATAAAAATATACAGGGCGGATCTACGCCATATCACGCTGTAGGAGGGTTACTTTAAGAATAAAATAAATTTTTTTTTTTTCGTTTTTTAGTTATGAGGGTTTAAAAATTATAAATATTTTAAGATTGTTTATTTATATAAAAGGGTAAAAAACAATTTTGTTAACGCGAGTCAAAAAGAAAAAGTTAAAAATTATTTATAATAAGGGGTATATTCTTTAACTTTTTAGTTATAAATAATAGGTTTATTTATAAATATAGTCGCCGCGGCGAATATTCTCCGTTGGCGTCATTAATTCCAAATGTCAAAAATCGGTTTGTCGGAACGGAAAACATTAGCCGCGGCGACTAAATCGATGAAATTTTAACTCCAAATCGTATTCTAGAATTATATTAAAATATGTGCTTAATTTTTAATATAATTCTATAAAAACAAAAAAAAAACCTTGCGAAAACTATATTTTAACCAACCAAAATATTATAACCAAGGCTTATTTATAATAAATCAAAACAAAGTTAGGATACATTTTTTGAAGCAAACATCAGAAAATACACTTTTCAATCGTCGATAATTGACGATTGAAAAATGTATTTTCTGATGTTTGCTTCAAAATTATTTCAGCTCTCTGTAAATGCATTAATTTTGTTTCCATAACCACCTTTATATGTCTCATAAATGGGCTTAGGAAAACAGCGTTGTCGAGTTTTTTAAACTTAAATGCCTAATAAATCGAAAACTACTCGTCGGAAAAAAGTAGTTTTTTATACTTAAAATAAACACCCTAGAGTGTCGTATGGCGTAGGTGGGGCTTTTTCCGGACACCCGTATAATATCGTCGCTGTGGAAATCAAGCGACAAAGTTGGCGAAATAGAGTTGAGAACAAAAAATCATTTTAAAACATTCAAATATCGTGGTCAACGAATTTGACCCTCAAAATGCTTTAACGTAACGTTTTAATTAGAGAATTTTGTGGCCCAAATTAATTGACCACTACATGTTAATGGTTTTAAAATGCTTTTGTATACTCATATTTTCATAGCTATCGGATTTTTTCAAAAGTGTGTTTTTTATTTTTATTTAATTTTCCTAAGCGTATTCAAAAACGCATACCTAAATTCTACAAATCTAGTTTTTGAGATATAGGACATATAGGACAAATTGATGAAATATAGGACAATATAGGACATATAGAACAATATAGGACACAAGCGTGAAATATAAGGTTGTCCTATTGAATATAGGACGGTTGGCAACCCTAGGTGTATCGGTATGTATAGGACCCATAATTGGGATTTATGGTTGTTCTATAGGGATATCCACCCATGATTTATTTGCTATTGGTTTCAATGGGGAAAATACACATAAATGTAGAAATTAATTTTTCCTTCAAATGTTTTATGGTTGCTCTATAGGGATATCCCATTGAGTTATTTGCTATCGGTCTCAATAGGGAAAATGTAAAAGTTATGGTGTGCCTATAGGTAATTCCCACTGGGAATTTCCCAGGAAGCAAAAACTACTTTTTAGTTAAAAATAACATGTAGGTATTTCACGTCCCAAACAAGTCATATGTCCGCCCTAAATTACATCACAAATAAAAATAAAATAACGTAACTTTCACATCAAACGTTATAACGTTTATATAGATTTGCTTAGAAACACTAATTGAACAATTCCATTGATGTTTGCTGACTGCAAAAATTAGTACCAAAAAAGTTCACTGCCTCCAAGAAAATGGGAATATATATTTTGTATCTAAATCTAAAGTTTTTGTACAGTGCGTATACAATTTTTTTTACCTGAATATATTAATTTATTATAAGTGGTCGGGGCTCAGGTTAAAAATTAATTTTAAAATCTAAAACTTTGGAAGTACATTTAATAAAGTAAAAGTAAGAAAAATCCTTCTTTGAAAAAAAATTATGACTTTTTCTTACTTTTTTAGTTCTATTATTTTTTAAAAAGTGGTCGGTGCTCAGCTTAAAAAATAATTAAAAAATCTGAATTTTTGAGAGTACATTCAGAATAGTAAAAAATTAAGAAAAAACCTCGTTTGAAAAAGAAATTATAACAAATTATGAGTTTTTCCCACTTTTTTAGGATTTGTTTTAATTTTTTTTAAATGAAAATGACAGTTTTTGACATTTGCACACCAATATTTATTTTCCATGACCTAGGTACCTACAGTTTGACCCATTTGTTTGCGACTCGCCCCTATAAAATCTTTATTGTGCGATTTTAACAGTGTAGATCTAAACTGTATTTTTAAAGCAAAAAACGCCATATTTTTACAAAATACAAGGCCTACTATCCCAGTTTTTAAGAGTAAATTTGTAAGAATTCATATTAGCGATTTTTTTAAACAAAATCTAAGCACGGCACTGGATTCACCACCCCTTAAAACGACCCTATACTAAATTTTGAAAAATTTTAAGAAAAAAATTCACAATAATTACAAAAATTTATTTTGTCACGTTCAGAGCTGCAACAAGTCAGTTTTAAAAAGACTTAAATCTTAAGTCCTTAGTCAATTCTAAAATCAAAATGATTTAAATCTTAAGTCAATTCTAAGATAAAGTTCAAATGATTTATGTATCAAGTCTTTGACTTTCAAGTCAAGTCATTTTCGCAAAATCTTAAATCAATATAAAGTGATTTAAGTCATCTTATGATTTAATTCCTTTAGTAAGTCGTTTTTATGACTTAAGTCTATATTTTTTATTTAAATCGTGATCTAAGAGTTAAGTCAATAAAATGACTTAAAACAAGATTTTTTAAATGGTAATAATTATTTTATGGTATTAATGATACTGATATTATTAATCTATTGTAGATACAGATGATAATAAACCACTATGTTAAGAATTTAAAACGATTTATTTTGAGAACACTTACAATCAAAATAAAAACTTTAAACACATTTTTGAGTATATAGTAGATAATCAAAATAAAAAAGAAAATGCCGCTGTTAAAAATTTATAAAAAAATATATGAAAAATCTGACTTAAATATTTTCTAAAAAGACTTAATTCTTTTTCAAAAAGACTTAAATCTTTTTAAATTACTTAAATAATTTACCGACTTTTATAAAGACTTAAATCTTTTTTTGACTTAAATCGTTTCTATATGACTTAAATCGTATACGATTTATTTATTTATATATATATATATATATATACTGACTTAAGTTTTTTCTATTTTAAAAAAATATTTAAGTCACAAATCATTTTGAAAATTACTTAAATTTTAAGTCTTAAGTCAGTTTTAGAGAAATGACTTATTACCAAATGACTTAAGTCATTAAAACGATTTAAATCAAAAAAAGGATTTAAGTTTTCTGAGAGCTTGCAGCTCTGGTCACGTTATCCATGAAAAAACATTGAAACAAAATTAAACTAACAGTAACATGGTATTATTACTAGTTCAATTTTATTTCAATGTTTTTTTCATGGATAACTTGACAATAAATTTTTGTAGTTATTATTGTACTTTTTTTTTCTTAAAATTTTTCAAAAAAATTTAGTATCGCTAATATGAATTCTTAAAAATTTACTTTTAAAAACCCTGTTAAAAATCACCCATAGAGACCAATAGAAACCAATAAAAAATCAGAATGGAATGAATTGGTCTTTATTGGGCCTATTGGTTTCTCAACAGAATGAGCATTGGTTTCTATTGGTAATTTCCGTACTGGAAAATGCCAATAGATTACCTAATGGTCTGAATTGGTTTTTATAAGAAGTTACAAGTACAGGAAATTCCCAATTGAAATTCAATTGGTAAATACCACTTAAATGTTCAGCGCCTGCGCAATTTAATACAAATGACCACTTGTTTCTTTTGGCAATTTTCTTACTGGAAAATACCAATAGATAAACTAATGGTCTGAATTGGTATTTTATCGGTGTGTAGGTACAAGGAACCCTATTGGTATATACCACTTTGAATTTGTTATTGGGATTTTCAAAATTTCCCAATAGGTAGGCAACCCATGCATACCTCTCGCCTCTGTAGCACAATACATAGGTCTATAAAGGTCGAATGCCTTGAGCTGCTAAGTAAGGATTCCTTAAGTAATTACTAAGGCAAAATTACTGGCCATGGAAACGCTTGGCGTTTTGGAATTTTTAAAGGGGCACAGGTCGTCCTGTGGCCCACTCTGCGAAAAGTAAGCAGTGGGCCCCACTACTTACTTTTAGCAGAAGCTATTTATAAAATTTAAATTAAATGTTAAACAGCACTATTTTTGAGAAATTATTTAACCATCAAAACACGTAATTTTTTACCTTAAAGACGTCTAAAATGGATAGTGGGGACCAATTCAAACCAATAGCGGTACCTCTGGAAAATCCAAATAGCTCTTCTATTGGGAATTACCATTAACATTTAATTCACCTCTATCATTCTCTATTGGGAAATTCGATTAGTCTCTACCGGTCTGTATTGGGATTTTCCAGCGGTGTCGCTATTGGTTTGAATTGGTGATTCATGGTACAGATACCACCATTGAGACCAATTCAAACCAATAGAGCTACCGCTGGAAAATCCCAATAGCTTTTCTATTGGTC